TGCCTGCAGCTCTCACCGACATCAGTGGTAAGTCCATCACGCTAGCTATCAGTCTTTTCAGTCTTGGCCCAAGCTCAGGCGTGGCGGCCATCTTGGCCGGGGACTCAGGCGTGGCGGCCATCTTGGCCGGGGACTCAGGCGTGGCGGCCATCTTGGCCGGGGACTCAGGCGTGGCGGCCATCTTGCAACAAAGCTCTTCAATGGCGGCCATGTTGAGAAGAGTGACCGGTGTGACCGGTATGATGTGAGCAGGCTCTGGCTTGGCAGACGTGACGTGAAGAGGACTTGGCATGACGTGAGTGACGGGAGCAGGCTCTGGTTTGGCAGACGTGACGTGAGCAGGCCCTGGGGTAGCAGACGCAGACATGACGTGATCAGGCTTTGACTTGGTAGATATGACATGAGTAAATTAACTGGTAACTGGCATGATGTGAGCAGGTCCTGGAGTAGCGGGCATGACGTGAGCAGGCTTTGGTGCATGACGTGAACATGACGTGAGCAGGTTCCGTAGACTCTGAAGTGACTTGAATAATCCCAGACATAATGTGCAAACATTTTGGTGTGGTGGATACTGGAGGATAGCAGGATTCCTCATCAACTATCCCCACAGTAAATGGAGAGCCAGCCAAACGGAGTGCAAAGTCAATGTATTGTTCCAGTGACCAGTGTGGGGTATTGCGTGGCATTAACTGTGAAATGTTTTTGTCCAAACCAAAACGGAAAATGTCTTTAAGGAAAGTATTGTTGAAGTCTACCAAATGACACAATTGACAAAAGTCCGCCACATAATCCTCAATGGGCCTGTTAACTTGGCGGAGGCGAACTAGGCGATCTGCTGGGTTCATATTGGGGTCGTGTATTCTGTAAAGAATTCAGTCCACTGAAGGCGAGCGTAGTGAGAACCCATGTGCAATTTTATTTACAAGTGATCCAAATATCCAAACAATAAACGAAGACTAGACTTGAACAGACTTGACGAGGCATGAACAGACTTAACTCACTGACAGCAGATTATAACATCAATACACGACCAGGCACAATGACAACATGAGGGCTACTTATACCAAACAAGAAGGGTCACATGACACAAACCAACAAATGGACAAACAGAACAGAGAACCACATGACAAGACCAAAAACCAATAAGCACAAGACACATGACTAAAACAACCAATCAGAACATGACACAATGAACAGAGGAACCAATAGCATGAATACATGAGGGCAAGGGAAGCAAAACACAAACAGGGACCATGACTAAACTCCAAAGTAAAAGACATGAAAACATGAACAAGAAACAAAACCCAAACCCCACATTACACCATGTAAGTAATAAACAAACAAATTCCAATTTTTTTCAATATTGTTGTGTATTCTTATTTATAATATTCCTCACTAAAATATATTTTTTGTTATTTATACATTTTTAATGCTTAAAGTCTTCGAAACATGTTGTGTCCCTGAATTGAATGTCCCCCCTGTTACTCTGATGGAAAGTCCCTCTGAACACACCCCTTGAATGTTCCCTAATCACATGACTCTCAGGACGTAGAATACTTTCTGGTGGCAAACTATCTACAAGAAAGAGAGTAAGTATCACTCCTTAATTCACCCTTTTTTCAATATTTTAGAATGATTCACTTATGTGGTAAAGCATAACATGTCCACCCTGTTATGCTTATTTATAGTGGAAACTGATAACCTTTTGTAATTTTGAAAATAAGGTTAATAAACAGGTTAAAAATCTTTCTCAGTGATCACTATATACTAGCCTGTTGCTCATCACGCGAGTAGAATTGGCTGACTTTAGCATAAAATGTCCCTCCTGTTACTGTCCACCCTGTTATTGTTTTGCACAGTAGGGTGGACATATTGTAACAGTGGATGTAAAAACTAGATAAATATGTGTTTACAGCATGTATTGGTACTTATAATTAATTTGCAAATAAATGCCCCTCAGGGCCCTCAAGGTTCAAAGAAAGTTTATGATTGAATGCTCTGTTGATTAGAAACTGCATTTAAATTATCTAGATTTTGTCATTACAATGTGTGTATCTGTCTGTGTCTCTGTGGTGTGTGTGTGTGTGTGTGTGTGTGTGTGTGTGTGTGT